CTATGTAACAGTTTCAAATCTCTTATTTTTAGTTTTTTGTACCTCTTTTAACTATAATATAAACATTTCTAAAACATTAATTAAAGAACATGACCAATTTTTTTGCAAGTAGCAACTTTTAAAATTCATTTTAAGAACATAAAGCTCGCACTATTTTTCATCAAAAAATAGATATACATGTATCTTCTATATCGTTTTCGTTAGATGGTTCGTCTTAATGCTGTATTAAGATATAATATTAGCATATAAATATCATTTATGACGATTTTATATATATATAAATAGATGTTATATGTAGAACAAAAACACGTCCGTCATTTTGTTGCCCCGGTACCAATACCAAGGAAAAAACAATGATTGACCTCATATGTACTATGCATATACTATCTATAGGTTGAGATCACAATTTTTATGAATCTAATACCATGTTATTGACTAGACATTAACCGTGGTTTATTTTCAGCATTTTGGGATAAAACAATCATAATAATGTCTCCTTAATGTCACGTTTTGTGCCGTTTTCTGACGGTCTAAATAATAGATCGATACAATAACATACTAGAAAAAATATAACATAAAACTTTTTTATTTCTAACTGGAAATACACAATCGTTATTTCCCCGTCCAGAAATATATAGAGGATATTTAAGTTTTTTTCTATAAGTAAAGGATTTATTTTCATCGAGTGGTATGAAAATAAATATTTCATGAGTGGCGTAGCCACGAGTGAAATATGATAATTTTCATCATAAGATGAAAAAACTTCCTGTATATATAGAAAATATAACTTTAATTTTCTGTTAATTATATACATTTCTCACAATTTAGACATTAAAAATTTGAAAAACTTCCACTTAAATGTGTGTATTTGCTGAATTTTGAAGAAAGTAGTCCGACAAGAAACCAGTGAAAAATATTTTTACAGTGAAAATACGGAAAATAAAAATACTCAATTTATTTCATCAAAATTTCTCAATATTTCATTTATAAGTATATAATAAATAGAATATATATGTTTAACGTTAAAAAAAGTGCAAGCTTTAAGCGGATAAAAATTGATTAACGTAAATTTAGTCGAAGAAGCAATACTACGCTATATAGTGCATGGCTATATGTTGAAATACGGCATTTTTGCACTTACTTTTACAAAAATATAGAAAACATTCGCCGGATTTATTCTGATTTTCGTCATTTTGTATATTTATTGTTTAAAGTGTCAGCTAAGCGCATTAGTCGGAAGGTTGAACAAAAAGATTTATTCTGCTGATAAGTAATATATTTCAAAGTGCTTCAGTATTGATCAGTCGAATTAACGCCCCATTGTTCTTTTAAACGTAAGAATAATAAAAACGTACCCAGATAAAAGGACATGGTTTTAAAACCCATAAGTAATCATGCCATTAAATCATTGTGTTACTTAACGGAAGTATACAAAATAACAACATGTGTATAACTTTGTTACAATGTTTTCATAAGATAATCCTATCAGCTCATTGTACTGTGGGGTGTGAGAAAATGAATAATGTATAACATGTATAATGAATGGCTTATAAACATAAAATGTGCATAAACAATCATCTTCGTCAATTGAATAATTAAGTGACGCATTTGATGGTTCATCATCATTTTCATCATCATCATCATCATAATCATCATCATCACCACCACCGTGGTACCACCATTATCATCATCATCATCACCACCACCATCATCATCATTATCATCATCATTATCACCACCATTGTCATCATCATCATCATCATATTCATCATCATCATTATCATTATTATCATCATCATCATCATCGTCAACATCGTCGTTGTCTTCGTCGTTGTCATCATCATCATCATCATTATCATCATAAGTGAACAACTTGATTCTACTTTACGTTTGTACTTTACGTTTGTCAGTGTGTTCTTGTTTATTTTCTTTCGATCGCAGTTCATGTTCATACATGGGAAAAGATCGCAAGCGGTAATTGCCACCAGTATACCATTAATGTATTCATATGCAGTTTCACATACACTTTATTCATTGTTGCTGAATTTTGATATTTTGATTATGAGATCCTCTTAATTAACAATTAACAGTTCCGAATGCAAAACAGGGTCAATTCTATTATGCAAAGGTATTATACAAAAGGCAAGATAAAAGTTTCAATCATATACTGGCACCCTTGTACAATGTATGAGCTAGACTCATCTCTATATACATGTATATACTTTAAAGGTTGACCAGTGGCATTGTGTATGCGAAAATGCTGGAAAAAAACTTTAACTGTTCATACAGTTAGAATAATATTGGTTTGTGATGGAATGGACGGTTTTTAATAGAGTCATTTGACATAAGGTTATTTTTTGTACTGCCACTCTTAGCAGATTCTGTACAAGACACTTAATGGTCAGACTGGTTATGTGTGCACGTTTGTCAAACTGGTGTTAAAGGTATATGTGAACTGTAACTGAATTGCCTTAAAATTTCTCAATGCTCAATGATGGAAAAATAAATGATAAATAAATCATTGGATAATCTTCTGTCGCATTCGAAATACCTTGGCGATTACTAATAAATAGCCCTTATCCGAAGTTTGACGGAAATGACTGAAAAGTTGCGATTGCTACTTTCGTTGCGGGAAGTTGACAGTTTCTAGCATTGGCTACAAGTAAACAAGACTTACAATTTATTTAATTCATGATAAATATATTGACAATTTGCCAAATACAGTTAAGTTAATTCTATATGTATATACAGTACATCTCTTAATTTACATTCGTTTAAATAATGTAATTTTAAGGCACACTTTCGTGCATCGACTGACAACCGATTTAATTAAAAAAACTGAATGAAACTGTTGCAAAAACTGTCAACAGTTAATGGAACAAGTCTGCATCTAGTAACATACATTATAACACAACATTGTACCTGTTTAACGGTTGGGAGAAATTGAAAAGGTGTGAATCGTTTGCTAAAACGAAAGTCTTGAATGAACACTGTCGTAATTCATAGATCATATATTTCACGTCGAACACTCACAATTGTAAGCGTATGTCTTTTTCAATATGAGATGAACATCATTTCGTTTCTCAAGTCATTCACATTAAAGAGCGCACGCATAGGTGATTACGCGAATCCATTAGAACATCACCCGTTGAAAAAAGATTATTAACTTCAAAGGTTTTCTAATGTTGAAATGTATAGTATCTATAATGTGTGTCAGGGTGATTTTTTTATATATAGAAAGATTCACTCTATGATCAGTCTTCGTGCAAAATAGTGAAGCGTGTTAGATAGTAGACACCGCGACTGTCATAATATAAGTGAACTTATAGGTTTACTAACAAGACGTATGGCGCGCAATTTGTGCCATGAATGACTTTTTAAACCGGACGATTAGTACTTCATGGTTTAACGTCATGTTGGTTAACGGTATAATTTTGTAATAATAATATATATAAAAACTAGTCACCAAAAAAGCCCCTGCTTGGACATGGTTTTTCCATGGTGACAATATTACTCTGTAACAAGACTCTGTAGGAACATCGGTGGCTCTATTTAAGGTGCCCGCTCGTGCATGGAACAATGCAAGGAGGGGCACCTGTGGTCTTCTTCTACCAATACAGCTGGAAAGACGCCATATGACAATAACAGTGTCTGGGCGACTCAAAATATATAAACTTTATCCAGTCACACCATACATAATGTATAGTCCATATAAAGATAGGTTTGTGGAAATCAAGTGTTTATTTCTTTCTCCATTGCTAAGTATCTGACAATAATATTTCAATTAAACTCCCGCCCCAACAACCTCATCCACCAAAAAGGAAAAACAACCCCACAAAAAAGTGCATTTGGGAAATTAAAATTCATAATTAAATTACTAATGCTAGTCATTGCTTACTTCAATATTTCTCTGCCTTTTTATAGCTATATCTTCACTTGGTTTTATTTCAATTATTACAAAAATTAAAAAAAAAATCTAGCTCCTTCCTTTCTTTATCTCGCGATCAATTTAATTCTGTCTCACTTTTTTATATATTTTTTTCTTTCGGTTCATTTATAATGATTTTCGATGCTTTTTTCCCGTCTGAAAAAATATATCACAGGACTAAATGACAAAGATGAGTCATGTTGTATAATATATTGTAACCACAGCTGTTAAAATTTACATATTATACAATTACCAGTCTATATTCACTGTTTGAAGTGATATGTACATCTAAATCTACCGTTCTTTTGTTTGTGCATGACTCATTCACTGTCTTATATATCTACTTAAAAAATGACTATTTTAAAGTTGTAAATTGTAAGCAAAGGTTGTTTTTTTTGTTTGAGTGATTAAATGAAACAAGGGATACCTAAAGAAATGACGTAATCTTCTGTTATATTACCGGTAGTTTACCAAAAAGGATTACATAATACTTGTACATTTGGATACATTTATTTTGCTCCCGATTCGTTTAAACTGTCGATGCGATTAAATTGTTTTGAGCAAGCATAATAGAGACAAAAATGCATGATTAAGGAAAAAAGTGGGAATTAGGATTATATTTTTGATTTTAAAGGTACTGTACTGATACATGTATATACTGCTTATTTTAAATCTAAAATTATTTCAATAACGTTGTCAATAATTTTGATATACAACTCGTATATACATGAATTTCTTTTTTTTAATGTTATAATCAATATCATTTCCCTTGTTTCAATAATTTAAATTAACTCCCTTCGTTTGAGTAAAAAATGGGTTTTTGAACTTTGTTAACTACAGACCAGACAAGGATTTAACCTTGTGAATTTTCTTATCTGTCACCGTTCATAATGCTTCCATTAAAGTTTAAATCCCGGTATTTATACAAATTAAATAATAAACAAAGATAGTGAATTATTATCTCCCGTGTCGGGGTCGAACCAAAAATGAAACGTTGGGAACATTTGGTACACGATTTCATTTAGTGTTTAAACAGGCAAAAATTGAAAGGCGTGGGGGAATGATCGTATGGATAACCAATTAAAAAATGATGTTATATTTGACACGAATGCATTGACTGTATTTACACGTATCGCTTGTCAAATATATTAAAAACATGTTTAAGATATATTGAAAAAGTATGTTAATGTTAAATACATTGTACTTCTCAACATCAAATTAGATACATGTTTAGTTCTAACAAGCTAAAGCTATCACGTTGTTTCATTTTTAAAGGCACATTATGACTTAGAAACTAATGAATATTTCCTTCTCTTGAAAGGGCACTCATAAGTTTAATGGCTTTGAAATAATGATTTTAAAGCATGTTAGATAATTATCACATAAGGAAAGTAAAGCTGAATGTGAAATTATTTGTGATATAAGTAGAAATGTAAACTAAGTTGTATTTTAACCTCCATAAAAAATACGTATTTACAATAAATGTACTAATTGTGAAACTGCAAAGGAAACAAAGAATGGTCAGGTATATATGGTCAATGACTAACTCTTTGGAGACTAAAGTTTAACACCAAAAGTTAAAAGCTAATTATAAATGATGACAAAAGTATTTCTAAAGCATAATGGGCTTTTAAGTAAGAACTGTCTGAAATTGATTGCAATCTTGCAAACTTCTCGGTCCTTTCCGGCAAATTTATTATTCGTCGGTTTATTCGGAATGGATTGATTGAATATCAAGTCTAATTTAGAATCTGGTGGTTTCCATTTAAACACGGACACAATTTTGATGTCTTGATCATTTCACTACTCACTTAGGCGTGAAAACTAGCACAAAGTGCATACAAAACTAAAGTGCAGATTAACTGATAAGTGAGTTTAAGGTAATGAAATGACGAACTATTAATAAATGTATTCTGGTTATTTCTTAATCATTACAGGGTCTAGTTGCAACTTTTGTTCAAGTATAAAACTTGTATTCGTCTATATATACAAAATTATAGATTATTATCAAACAGCAATATGAACACACCTTTCATTTAAAGTCATTTACAATATATGTGTTGACAAATTAAATTATTAATTATTTTTTGAAACATTTACTTCCGCTTTAGACAAAATCAGTGTTTAAAAACATATATGTAATAAAATCGTATATTAATTTTAATTTACTAGGTTTTCACAAATGAGGAAGTTAAGAATTAATTTAAAGTCAAAGTTTGTACTATGTTGCTATACTAAAAACAGGTGCATTACAAAAGGTCGTGATAATGCCCGAAAATCTTTTATGACTTCAGAACCCTTTTATTGACCGCATATTATTAAGTGGACAGCATAGAAATTTTCTGTATTGAAACTTGCTTTTATTATCAAATACATTGTTGTAGAATTTCAACATACCCTCGTTTTCAAGCAATCAATCTGATTTCATGTTCGCTTATCTTCAACACTATAGCCCCGACTACAGTTTGTTTGTCAAAAGTAAATACCATTTCGGCAAACAAGCACTTTTCAGTGGGCCTGAGTGTTTAAGGACAGGAATACATATCTCGTATATATAACTAAATAAAACAGTAAGTTAAGGTCAGATAAGGGCAATATATTGTGTATGCTTCTTGAATCTAATATCAGTTTATAAGTGCATTTTAAGGAAGAATATCTCAGTTACAGGATACAGTGATATTTTCTATTACAGGTACATTTAATCTTAAATCCTACCCATCATCATAATATAATGTATGGGTCATAAAACTTTATGTGTTTACATATGTTAAGCATTTAACGCCTCAGCTAATGATTTCATGCCTGACATTATACAGCTTATGTTTAAAGCTTTTTTTCTGTCATATTTCATAATTATTTCAGAGTTGGACTTTTTTCTTTACAATTTTACAAGCGTATGTTTCAATGTTAAATTTTACTTTCATTTACTTTCAGACGTGTATAACCAAACCAGAGATATCCATACGTTATGAGGTAAACATGTGAAATCGTACAGCTCTTGAAAGCCAATTTTTGTTCGATTATCTCTTCTTAAATTAAAGACAATGTCGTGGCTAATGTTTTGGAAAACTTCTTCGAAAAAGAACGATAAAAAGTCAAGGTCGGAATTGATCCGATCAGAATCATTCAAGGACGAAGGGACGCTTGGTGAAACTGAAAAGGAAAAGAACGCGCGATTACGTCATACGATGTCGATATCGCGTTCCGGGAGATTCAAACAGAAAAATAAACAAAGAGCAGCCATATTGGATAAACCAGAATTTTTTTCTGGGTCTACAGACTCGCAAAAAGAGAATTGTGAAAATAGTCAACTTACAAACGGTAACAATATGAAAACCCCGCCCAGCACGTGCCGCGAAGTGTCGCGAGGACAGACGATAAATACGCGACAGGGTCAACAAACCGTGCTATGATACTTCCGTTAACATGTACAAAGTTAAAGTGTTCTGTGTGATTTTGACATGATGCCATTTTATTTGGATTACCAAATATATATAAAATGTTCAATTTTCATAAGATGATTCTTAATTTAGCTGAAATTACTGCTCCTTTTCACCGAATCGTCATCTTTTCAACACATAATTTATAATAAAAGAAACAAATATAACTAATTACAAATAAACTCGATCGGAATTCTGTATGAAAAATCTACTTTTAAAAGGTACTGGTTTCTAAACACACATTTTAATATTGAATTATTTAAACGGATATTTGCTGCGCTTAAAATCTGGATGTACAAAGTGAAGGAATGATAAGTAAAATTTACAACGAATTGCGAGACTTATTAGTTTCATGGAATTATAATGTTACAAGTGCTTTGAATATAGAAAATGTTTTCAATTGTGAAGCTCACAGAAAATTTCAATATAATCCAATGTCTTTCTTATACCATGTAGCTCACGTGTTTTCTTTAGTAAGAAAATATATGTACATGTATATATTTTTACATATTCCATTGCTTTCAATAGCAGGACATTGTATGAAAACTTGACCATAATAAATCTGCAAATGATTGCTCGTTGATGAACAAATGTGATAGATTTGACAAGGTTGTGAAACGCATCTTCGGCATCTTTTCATTGAAGTATATATGTGTGAATATTGTACGACGTGAATTTAGTTGCATACATGTGTGCATGTGTTTGAGTTTATATTGTTGTTTAGGGGAACTTTCAACATGTACATTCTCTGCAGGTGTGATTTTTAAAAAGTTATTGACTATTTATATGCCAAAACTGGTTATATATAAAATAACTTTATGTGATTTGATGTTGTCAATGGAACCGGGAGTGTTCTTTTTTCTACATTTGTATATTTATGCACAGTGCGCGGCAAAAAACTTTCCTCCTCCAGAGCGGATGTCGACACATGCTGGTGTCTTGTGATTTTATAAATAGACTATCAAAGCGGAAGTGATCAGTTAAATACGGTAAACAAATTCGTATTGTCATGGTTAACTTTGTTTTTGTTGAAGTACTATATGTATATAAATAAGTGGATGTGTAACTGTTATTGAAAGGACATTATATGAAACGTTTACATTTCGTTTGAATTTCATATATTACATATGGAGTCAGTTCTTGTAAGAAATGTGCTGGATTTATGTAAGGTTTTTGACTGCTATTAAAAGTATATGTTTTATTGTTTAAAAAATCTTTGTTTTTGAAATAACTGTCTCATTAAGCATAGATAAAATGTAACAATTTTGTGTTTTTGTTCATTTTAATTTGAAATCCCCGATTGGTTCTGACGTCACAAGGTCAGTTTAAACTCTGTCTGCATATGCACATGTCACAACAGTCAAATTAAAATACGTAAGTCAGCGGCATTTATCCCGACTTGCGTAATTTTGAAAAAGAAAACTGCACTAAAATTATTTTAATAGCCATAATTATACTTCAATAATTATAGTACTTGGATATTGACGTTTTTCAACTTGATAAACCCCCCTCGAGGCCATTCACCTTTTACAAATTGCATAAATTAATTTGCCATCTGTCTTATAAACACGTTCGGACACTTGTCAGGGGACATGTAAGCTAGTTACGAAACTTCGTGTTTACATTTTGCGTTTTCACACATGAAGAAAAACAACACAATTTAAATGTATCAGTTGTATATCATATCAAGTATGACGATATACAAGAAATTTAGAAGTTTGAGCATAGACAGAAAAATACAATAGTACTACATCTCACCAAGTATTTTTCTTTTCGTCTTTTAAAATGCCATTAACACATTAAATTGATTTGACACTTGACTGCTCGATGATAAGGATTGCAAGAAACAGCATTTCTGAGCATTTTAAAGGCCATATTTAGGTCAAGACCAATAACGATACGCAATGGTATTGCAGCGCACATTTACGCAAGGATCTATTTCTGTGCTTTAAACAAATGGACTCGTGACAGTGAAAGGTCACATTGATTTGTGTCCTTGAACCATAATTAATTAGTTATGTAATTTAATCATTCCTTAATTATATAAAAATGTACATGTAGTTTAAACATATATTCATCCGAAAGATAGACCTATCAATAACAAATTCATTTTCCTTCATCAAAAGAAATGGGTTTACAGATGGTAAAACCTTTGGAGAACAAGCTAAAATGGTATTATTTTTACAAAGTATCCGACACTTTAAATATGAGCAGTTGTGGTAAATGCATGAAGCTAGCAATATACACGCCCAACTGTTTTTGAAATGGCCGAGTCCTTAATAGGAAGTTTTGGTTCAACAGACGTCTTTTCTTAGATAAGAGTTCATGATCTTATATCTTAAAATTTAAACAGTGAACATACATTGTCTTTATCTGAGAGTGGATAAATAGCAACGGCTTATTGAAATCTTTAAAGCTTAGATAAGAATAACACCGAATTCGATTATGATTCGATCTACAAAAACAGAAAATAACCTCCACAACGAAAAACAAGTGACATGATATACATTTATTGCATATATAATATCCATACATTTATTGTTATGTCACTTTACTGATTTATTGGCCACCTATGTCAACGGTTTGTTTTTCTATATTGTTTGACGCGTATCAATGTTTTGGACAGTGATAGAAACAGAAAAATATTTGTATGTTTATATGTAATCTATCTTTAATGAGGGTCCATCCGCCCGGTAAGCCACAAAAAGCAGCTTCCACTGACGATTGCGTACCCCGGACATGTCACCAGTCATGCCCTTAAAGAGTTAATTTTGAAGCAGTGATAATTTACCACCATGCAATTTCCACAGTATATTAGCCAAAGATGTGAATTTTGATTAAAAAATAGGTTCATGTACGGCGCTCAATGAGAACCTAAATGTACAGTAACATGAGACTAGAATGAAAGGAGATAGCCCTTAAAAGGACTGTTGACTGTGCCAAGCAAAAGGCCTGCCTTACTAGACGTCTATATGTGCCAGGGGCTCACGTTCCCTAGCACACCATCCTTGTTGTCTCGGCTGAATATGAATGAGAAAAATATTATTAATTTTGAAAATTCCCGAAACTTCAGACGGGACTTGTAAATGGGTAAAACCCGCGGAGGAGGGCTTACAATCACGGCAGCATAATCAGTTGATGTCAAACCTTTTAAAGAAGACGTAAGCACGAGTTGAAGCGGTGAAAAACGTAATTATTGTTAGCTTAAGCTGACCTCGTTAATAGTAATTAGCATTAGGGTTAATTCGGAATTAATTTTTAAGTCAGTATTGAAATAAAAAGAATTTTTGATAACATAAAATAAACAAATACTCTTTCGTTGGATTTGGATAAGGATTAGAGATTAAGAAGAATCAGGAAGGGCGCCGTCTGCTGCAAAAAAATAAAAGAAGAGAAAAAAAAGCTCAAAAAGCTCAAATCCAAACGAATCACTTTTTAGGAAATCGTTATCAGTGCTTCATAATTTTTTCTCTTTTTCCTGATTTATTACTCCTTCAAAGTTTATCAGCTATACATGTCTGTTTAATTTACGTATTCAGTTCGAATTCTAAAGGCTGTTATCTACCATTGTGTATTTACACTTTCCTAAGTAAATATATAATGCATGACAAACGAAGGCTAATAAGCTAAAACTCGTGTTGTGCAATAGCATGTTCATAAATCTAACGAGACTAGCGAAGATAACAAGTGCACTTTTGTTCGAAAAGTAAATGCGCAGTAAACCTCAAAGCGTGTAATCTGGCAACAAGTGTATGTTTGCTTATACCTTTTTATAATTATGCAGGTTGAACATGTACTTTTCAAATTGATATCTATTTAAAACATTGAATTTCAAACGTAGCCATATGCGTGGTACACTGAATATTTTAAATTTTTTTGAAAATAGCACTTTTATCGTTAAATAATGCTTAAAACAATATAAAAAAAAACGTTGGAAAATTTCATAATAATAACCACTACCATAAAGTCATTTACGCACGCACATACCAATTAAAGAAAACTGAAGGAAATGGCACACGCACATACATTGTACTTAAACTTCAATGGGAGAAATCAAATACAAATAATATAGAAATTTAAACATGAAATAAGAACAAAGTTGTGCAAGAGAGTGATAAAGTAGAGACTATCCTGTGATCAACCTGTCGAAAAACATGGTTATTTCGATCATATTACTTATTCCATGTATTTGCAGTGTTTTATTATTCGGTCAGTAAGTCGAAACAGTGCAGCAACAAAATAATAAAACCAACAAAATAGTACAATTCACCTGAGTTAGGTCCTCTACATACGACAGATCATGCTTTTTATTACCTTGCAGATGAGTTTGCTGATGTCCTCAATAATGTTGTGTTGTGTATAGTCTGTATTAGTGACCTTAGAAGACAACCAAAAATGGGTACTTAGTTAAGAAGTTTCAGCATAAAAGTAAGCATATATGACGACGCAGACAGCGGACTTCAACATTTTGCCATTGTAAGGGCTACCCGCTGTAAAACATTTCTGTAGATAATGTTTGTGTCTAAGTTAGAATGTAAACAAATTTTTAAAATGGAGATTGAGGTAGACTCGTTGCAATTGTTCTACTTCACATAATACTATAATTGCAATTATTACATTTATTACCAATGTAATTCTAAGGTTTCTGAGTGCTTCTGAGTGTAGCTTACTCCAAAAGCAAAATAGGGAGACATTCTAAAGACTTACATTGTGTACATTAATTACGTTCGTTTGGTAATTTCTCCATGTATATAAATCAGAACAGTTCTGTTCTGTTATATAAATCAAACCTTTCAATCGGTTTCCATATGAATTGCAACCTTTATTGTTTAGACATGCTGCTTATAAATAATATAAATAAATATTCTTAAATGAGTAAATTCAAATTGTAAAAATACCGTTATACCATTTGTCACTAATTGATTATTAACAGTACCTTAACAAAGCAAGATCTTTGTTGTCTTGTAATTTAAAATTCCATTATGAAATGTTAATTTTAATTTTTGATTTGCAAATCTAAAAATTTAATTAAAACACCATTTATCCAACCCCACTTACTAAAAATCATAATGAAACAATAGAAGAAAAATAATTAGAAGCAAATCTGTAACTCTTGCTTGATATGATTTTTTATACTACATTGAAACAAATCTGATTGAAAAAAATTGACAATTTTATTGAGCCTTATCATGGACAGCAGTAGTAAATGACATCTCTGATCTATACCTGTCTGGAATAAGCAGACATCAACATTCAACACGAAGATTGTGTTGAATCATCAGTAGATAAAACCATAAAACCTTCAATGTGTTTTTTGTGCTATTCCATGAAAAGCGGCATATTGTCCAAGAGCAAAATTATGATTGTGCCTTACACGAAGAAAACAATCGGGGAACTAAAACATGAAATTTAGACCTGGGCTCACAGATATGGCGCATTCGAGTTTCGAAGACTGTTACTAAAAGACAAATATAAAAATGGTCAACATATTTTAAGAGTAATCAAAGACCAATCAAATATAAATACAGATTGCATACACACATGACAATAAAATTCTTTCATACCAATCTGGAAAATGGTTGATCCCGAGGAAGTTTCTTTAACATGAATAATTAATAAAAGAATAAATTAATATAAAAGGAACAATATCCTACTTTATATTTAGCAGATGTAAAAGTTCTAGTCGGGATTACATATTCCAATGTTTTTTAATGTTGATTTTTTTATTTCCGTTTTGCTTAAACCGGTGTTTCACTGTTTTTCTTGATCAAAGACTCATGCATTTTTGATATTTTGATTTATTCATTGTTCTTTAGTTGCCTCTTATTCCAGAAATTGTATTCCCCCCCCCATTATATAAGTGAAGTATATGAGACTTTTGATATCATGTATCATGAGATTTAATACATAACAATAATTTGTTTTTATTACTTTATTCATCTTACTACCACTACTGATTTCGTTTTCAAATTCTGTTGTTCCAGTTTTAGTTGAGCATACCAAATAAATATGAAATCTGTCAAATGTGAGTACAGACATCAATAAGGGAGAGCAACAGGTCTTGATGTGCACCTTATTGCAGTGAAGATTATATTTTCATGTCCACATTAAACACAATTATCGTCAAAAGTATCAGCGAAATGATTACACTACTTACGGAATAAACACATATGTGGCTTTAACTAAATTATTAATATTATCACTAGATATCCAGTTTAGCTTAAAATAGAAAAAAAATAATCCTTTAAACGTCCGAAACGGCAAAATT